TAGGGAAATATGATCACGGAAAACGACATAATTTCCCGACGGAAAACCGCAATCCAAACAAGGCCTTAACTGGCAAATAAGGCCGTCTATGATGTGAGGCAAAGCGGTAGAGACAATTTTGTCATAAAAGAATAAAAAATTTGAGGGAGGAGGGCCCAGGTCCAAATTGGTAGTGCAAATAGTCTGTTTGGATTGTAAGTTATTTGGGATTATTTGGGATATTTTTACTGTAGTACTTTTTGTGATGTGATGTATGTGAGATAAAAAGATATTGGAAAGATAAAAAGGTGTATTGAAAATTGTAAAGATGATGTAAACAAATAAAATTGGGGAAATATGAAGCAATCCAAGCAAACCCGTCAATTTCTGCCTTTTAATAGTCAACTATTCCAAAAGATATCTCTAATCAACGTGATCAACGTTTGTATTCAAACTTGCATCTATGAATTGCCTATAAGGCTATAACATATTTTCTTTTAAGTAACTCGAAAAAATCGTGAAACACATCAATCTTTAAAGACGTTACGTGTGAAAAATTAAAACAATTGATAACATACAGGAAATTCTTCCAAACTCGTGGTCTTCACAATATCATAATAATAGCACCTCATATCATAAATGAGCAGAGAAAATTAATTGATAGGCAATATCATAATAATAGCACCTCATATTTGTAAGTTGTACCTTTTTAGTCTTTCGATGATTACAAATTGCAGCTAAGGAGATAACCAAGAGATGAAGTCTTTGATGGGTTTTAAAGGATCAAATATGGCTTAGTTTCGGTTATTCCATCATATCAAATGGGTAAAAAAACAATAAACAACCCTAAGGGATGGAATAGAACAGAGAAGGGGTTTGTTTTACATTTATTTTTTAAAGTTTTTGATTTGAATGAGTGTGCAAGAGTTGGGGATGTTTTTGAAATATTTTATTGTAGTAATATATATGAAAAACTTTTACTGTGAATATTTTTAATGATGTTTTTTGAGATATATTTTAGGGTATTTTTAAGGTTTAAAAATTTTTAGAATAATTTTTAAAAATTAACACTCCACCCACACCACCAGTATCCACCACCGTCACCATCCCCTCTCTCCCTTCTCCTCTCTTATTTCCGTCCCTCTTCCTCCTCCCTCTCTCCCCTCCCACCCTTTCCTTTCCTTCCTTTTTTCTCGCTGGAACCCGACCCTCCCCTTCCTTCCCCTTTCCAATTTAACCTCGTTGAGACCAGATCGTGGCCTTCGATCGAGGCCTTTTGGTTGAGGCTAGAGGGGAGGAGATGGGGTATGGTGTGGAAGGGAAAAGGGGAGAAGGAGAGGGAGGGAGGGAGAGGAATGAGGAGGAAAAAGAGGGAGAAGAAAGAGGAGAAAAGAGAGGAAGGAGGAAGATAGTGGTGGGGGTGATAGTGGTGGTGATAGATTAAAGAAGAAGATAATATAGATTTTATTTTTTAATTCTTTATATATTTGAAATTATTTTTGATATATTATATGGATATGATATTTTTAGAATTATTTTTATGTGTGTTGCTGTAACATTATATGTGAAAAATTTTGTTTTTAAAAAAATGAAGAATCCAAATAGAGCTTAAGTTCTTTAGACTACAAGATATGGTATCACAATGTGCTCGACATCATGATTATCTAATTGGCAAATAAGGGTAGCCATGATTCAAATTTGAACTGGAACAGGACCGAAATCATATTGACAATTTATTGAATTGCAACCAGAATTGAATTTTGGAAACCAAAATCGAAACCATAACCGTGACTAAAATTCAGGTTCAAATTCACTAAAAATTTGAACCAGAATCAAAATCGATGGTTTACTAACTGCTCAAACCATTTGAAAAAATATTTGCTACCTAAATATATTTAACCAGTTTAGAGTTCAATATCAATACTCACCATTTAATACTAGTAACTCCAATTTTGACCCAACAACTATTGTCCAATTCCATTAATAAGTCTATACTCCATGACTAATCTAAATCCAAGACGAATATAATTTAATTAACAATGAGATATTTTTCATAAAATTTGCATCATTTTTCTTTTTCCTTACACATGATAGCATAATTTTTTTTTTTTTACATTCATTTTCATTTTTTCTTATAACCAATTTTACGATAATAAGTCTTTAAAATAACTAAAAAAATTGGAACCGTAATCGAAAAAAATCAAAACCGTGACTAGTGCTGAAGGTTCAAGAACCGTAACCATAAGCATCATTATAAGGATCGGTTTAGGTTTTACTTTTCAACAAACTCAAAATCTTCAATTTTTAAATTGGAAGTGGTGATTTTAGAACCGTGGTCATGCCCATTGGCAAATGGGGGCACACGTCAGCAGTCAATCAAGATTTTCCTTGTGGGAATATGGCTTTGGATTTCCAACCACAAAAATGAATCTTAGCTCTTGATGATGTGTAAAAACTCCAAATCAAAGAAAATGTGGGGTTGTCGGTCCACTCAAGTTGTGGAAAATAGAAGTATAGCTGAATTGGTGGAGGCAAGGCAATTGTAATATTTGTAAAAGTAAATCTTATATACACTGAAAATGTATACACTATCACCATTTGATTCGTGATATATGCAAAAATTGAATTTTTAATTTAAATTTAGTATAACTGTGATTCATCTAACGCTGATAGTATATACACTGTCAGTGTACGAAAGATTAATCCTATTTGAATCTAAATGTAAGAAAGATATGTGTGCTTAAAATTCCAATAAATTGTTATCTCGAAACGAGCTTTAGACCAACAAATCCTCCTAAAACAAGTCCAAGAAGCTATTCAAGAAACCAATTATATACTACAAACATCGGTAATTAATCTATTAGGAAAGTTCTTGACTAAGCATGCATAATGCATTGGAACATTTAAACCCTCTTTCTGGACTTCTTAAATTTGTTGAGCCTTTAGTGTACTTTAGGTTTAATTTGCCTTACATATGTGACTAATTTTAATCCATATATTTTGTTCAGTGACTTGAGTCTAAGGCTTGTCAGTAAAATTAATCGCTTGCTAGCATTATGCAGTTTCAATAGCATTTTTTACGTTGTGATATATGCGAGAACAAAAGATTATTGAAAAGATATAAATTTTGATTGAAAAATATATTTATAATGCAAACATATAATTTTTTTGTAAATAGAATGTGATATCCAAACAAACCCATTGTTATAGCTATCTTTTTAGGCAGATGAAGAAGCAAAACTGCGTGCCAACTGATGCATTGCATACAAAACAATTAAGACTTTGTTTGATAACTTAACTTAATTCTTAAATTTAATGGATTTAAATTTTAATATATTCAGATCGTTTGATAACCAAATATTGAGCATCTAAATTTAATAAGTGGCACTAAATTTTTTAGACAAAATTTGTTTCCAAAATTAAATGATAAACTATTCACTTATCACTGAATCTGATATGCACTCAAATGTATTTATTTAATGTTTAACAATTCAATAACTTAATGGATTCAAATTTCATATTTCAAACTTTAGTTTTATTAAACGCACCTAAGTATCAATAAAGTTCCTATAACTTCATGGCATAATCCTATTGCCATTTCTAGCTCAAACACTATTTTTGCATGAGCTTCAATGTTGATTAATTTGTCAATTGTTTCCAAATTTTTGCGGTCATTTACTATTTTTATGCGTCTAATTAGAAGTATGAGAAGAGATATGTACCTTGACAGATTTTTAGCAAAAATTTAACATATTAATTACTGCAACTCTTTTCAACGATCGAATATGCACGGAGCCACAACGTTAAATTACTCATTTGCTGATATCTTCACACTAAATAAGAATGACTGGCTTGGGATGTTATTCAGAAATAGAGTGCAATTTAGGTAAGTATAATTGTAAAATCTAAAATTTTTGTTGTCATTCGTGATTTATGATTTTTTTTTTTCTAAAAAGCTCCCAATAAATGAAAATGTTTACTACTATTATACCTTCAGTCACACCTCACATTTCCAAAATATTGTCATTAAACACTTTGCAGATAATTAATTGATGTATTTGAATCACCACTTTTATTCTTTTCAAGTACATAATGAATACAAAATTTTGCCAGTGATATTCTCAATCTCAAATAAACATCCTCTTTTAATGTAATCTCAAATTAATTCAACTCTATCGTCTATAACCAAATCTCAAAAGAATTCAGTTCTTGTTTAAATTGAAGGCCTCATTTTGCAAATGAGTTTTTTGAGTGTTTGTCTAAAACTTTAATATATAATTGTAGGAAAAATTTTTAAAGTGTATAAAATTTTAGATATGTTGAAGTGTATAGTTTAATAATTTTAAGAAAATTTTTTGAGGTTATTGTAGTTAAACCTTTTAAAAAATTTGTAGAAATCAAATTTGGCCAAAATCTTGATTGCCAAACGATGCCAAACACGCCGTAGGCCTCGTTTGTCAAATGAATATTTTTGGTGTTTATCTAAAATTTTACTGTAACTTTCTGTAGAAGTTATAGAAAAATTTTTGAAATGTAAATTTTTGAATATTTTGAAATGTGTAGTTTAAAAACTTTGAGAAATTTTTTGAGATTAGTAATATTTAAAGTTTTTAAAAAATTTGTAAAAGACAAATTTGGTAAAAAACTTATTTGCCAAACAGGCCTGTAATTTTCTAAAGAAAAACTTTTATATTTTTCGTATATATATTTTAATTAATTTTTTAACATATCAAATCAAATTGTTACAATATATAATTTTTTACGTAAAAATTATAAAAAATAGTAATCTAGACTAGACCTTGTTCTATTCACGTTCTATTCAGTATCAACCCGTGACTTGAGTACCCAATACCCATACCCATATTCAAACACCAATGATTACCCAACCCCCTCAACGTTCACTTTCCTCGGACTTCACTACCCTCGTTCAAATCCACTTCATTCACTCCTCGAAATTCCGCGTTCCCGCCTAGAAATATTTTCAAATTCACATTAAAAAACTCGCACCAAAAAAAGGGAAGAAGAAGCTCTCCTTTTCAAAAACAATACCCCATTTCCTTCACCTTCTTCCCTTATCCCCTCAAAAAACCCTTTCTACTCTTTCCCCATTTTCCACAAATCTCTTCCATCGTTCTTGACCTAATTCTTTCACCTCCGAAATGGGGAAGAGGAAGGGTTCATCGACGCCGGCAGCTTCGAGGGAGAAATCTAGGGCTTCTTCTTTTTCTTCTTCGGTAGAGAAGAAGTCGAAGCGACAAAGAATGAAAGTTGAGTCGGTTCCGGCAAATGCGGATAGTGATTTCATGGAGGAGCCGGACGTGGTGGTTGTGTCGGATGACGATGAACGGGAGGATGGAGGTGAGGTCGAGGGAGAGAGCTTGTCTATGTCGCCGGCTGAGAGGAAGACAAAAAGGCGCGTTCTTGCGGAAAATGAGGAGGAAGGTGATTTTCGGTTTCTTGGTGAGCCTGTTGCTGACAAGGAGGCTCGTTGTCGGTGGCCTCATCGATATGCAGTCAAGCAAAAGGTCGGAAATGTTTTGGTTTATTGTATATAATCGACAGCTATGGATTTGTAAATGTGTTTACCTGTGAAGAGTAGATGAACTTAATCTGAAAAGGGATATCTTTTAGGATTCTTCATTTTTTTTCCTGAGAGTAAGGTTTTATTCTCCATTTTTTGCGTATTCTGAAAAAATTAGGGCTTTTTTTAAAGGGTTCTGGACATTCTTTATTGTGATTATATTTGCAAGTACGTTGAATGTGAATAAAGTTTCATGTCTTTCCTGATACAAAGCTGGTTTTTGGCTGTTTTTGTAAGTAATAAAGAACAAGGACTTTTTGTTTTTTCCAAAGAAACATTTGAGACGATGTCAACTTTTTGGTCTTTTTACTATGATACAAATCAGTAGGCGCGCTAGCACATGTAACCAAGTGCTGGAAATATTGTCCGTGTAGTATGTCAGATATGGAGCTAGTTTGGAGTATTAAAAGGGTATTGATAGCTGGCCAGATTATACTGAATAAGCTCAAGTGCCTTTCAACATGGACGCCTTGAAAACTAATGTTAGCAGTTCCCTGGGCTTCTTCGCAAGTCTCTGTTTTATTCTTAAAATCTCACTGCTGAGGTTAACAAACAATTTTTAACCGTTCTATGGACATTGGGATTGTATTTCCTTCAGTTGTTTGCTAGTGTAAAAAGTTTTGTCTTTTGGATCATGCCAAGTTTGTCCATTGGTCTTACGCTTTAAACTCGTTCTTTTATCTTTAGGTGAACATACAATTTTTAACCGTTCTATGGACATTGGGATTGTATTTCCTTCAGTTGTTTGCTAGTGTAAAAAGTTTTGTCTTTTGGATCATGCCAAGTTTGTCCATTGGTCTTACGCTTTAAACTCGTTCTTTTATCTTTAGGTGAATCTATATGTTTTTCATTCTGAGTCTATCTCTTTTGGGTAGAAACTTTGGCTTTCGCATAATGCTTTGGTTTTAGTTACTTGTCACTATAAAATCTTTATCTGGCTTATTCGAAGTTTGATAATTAGTGTATCCTTCTGCGAGTATGGGTTTTACATACTTAATGGGGGATTACTCATCTTGGCTAAGATTAATTTTGTCCACAACCTGCACGAACTCAATGGGAACTTTTAGACGAGCAAAAAATACTTTTCAAGTGGATTCTGCGCAAACAATTTTTCCATTAGCTCCCTTTAGCAAATAGGAGGCTGTATGTTGTCATTGTTTTATCTTTCTGATAATTAGTATCCTTTCTTTTAGTGAATCTTTATGAACTAATAGTTAAATAAAGGTAATTGTTGTTCTTGAAAGAGCCTTAGTATGAAATACTTTTGGTTGGATCTAAGTGTAGGAGATACCCCAAACATGAACTAAAAATGGTTTGGTTTTGTGTCATTCAAACAAAACTTGTTCATGCTATCAGCTATAATCATCATGCTGAATGTTGATGTGCACAAATTTAATTTGAATTTTTGGCTGAGTTAATGAGCTAATTGTTTTGGTTATACAGAGGAAACAAAATGCAGTTTTAAAAGACTCAAAAGGGTGAGTATATGGTTGTTGACTATTTAATTTTCTCATTCTAGTTCTACTTATTAGAACTGTTTGCATTTAAATTGTTGTTCTTTAATTGCTTGCATTTTTTTTTCTATTCACTTGGAAAGTGAGGATGACTCTGAAGAATTTATCGATGCTAAAAGACACTTCACTCAAGCAGAAGTTGATGGGCAGATTTTTAACTTGGAAGATGATGCTTATGTACAGGTACAGGAACTTTGCTTCCTTTTTCTAGTAAATGGAAGAGTTTGCTAGTATGACAGTTTGAGTGGGCTAGGTCTAGTCATACCAAATCAAAACCTATCTAGTCTAGGGGTGAGCTGCACATATCGTGTTTTCTGTCCAGGTTTTTAGCATCTGTCATGGGTGTGCAATGAGCTTAATGTAAGATTCATCTCTTGCTCCTGCATTTACTTTTTCCAGTGCTGTTATGTAACAAGGAAATAATCTGTTCTCAGTATAAATATGTAGTTGTTGTCATATCTTGAAACTCGAATGCTATGTGATCTTTTTAACTTATGATTGTTAAGACTGAGTAATGATTTTGGAGAAGTAAAAGGAGGGTTTTAAGTTTGTTTACTTGGACTGAGATATCCAGCTTTTTTAAATGGTCTCAGATATCATAGACCATGTCGTGTTCCAAAACTTATGAGATTTTGTGGATGTGGCATCGTTTCTATTTCTTTCAACTGTCTGAATTCTACGGGATTCATTATCTTTCCGGAAAATTTAATGTGAATTTCCTACCCATAAATATCAGAACTTTTTTGGGTCTTTTGTTAATCTTGTTATGTATTGCAGGTGATCCTGGTGGCTTAGCGTTTTTGCATTGAAGATTGTATAATCAAGGCCTAGATATTTTTTTCTTATAAGTTGATTCTAGTTTTTTCTTTCTTTCTTTTTTTGGTTTCAATTTTCCCTTTGCTGAAAGCTGCTTTTAGAGGTTTTTGTTTTTATCTGTGAATTTAAATTATTTTAACCATCAGAAAGCTATTCGTGAGAAACAACTCTAGAGATTTTTTTTCCACTGTACTTTTGCTTTTGAAATTGAGACAAAAATACCTTTTCAGGATTTAAACAGCTTGGAGAGTCATTTTTTAGTTATAATCTTTTGAAATGTGCCATTTATGGAGTATAACAGGCTAATACCATACTTGGAGGAAATTTGAAAGAGAAAATAAATTTTATATTGTTGAGAGTTGCCTTCTTTGACAACTTTGTTAGGCTGGTTTTCATTGTCTTGGTTTTGCCGGTATTTTGAATCACTTGTATCCAAATCTGGTTCAGAAAGTTGTTTAATTCTTGCCTAATTAACATGCTGTCACAAGGCTGAAGAAGGCAAAAGAAATTACATCTGCAAAATAGTGGAGATGTTTGAGGGAACTGATGGCATGCCGTATTTCACTGCTCAGTGGTTTTACAGGGCCGAGGATACTGTAAGGCTTGACAATCATTCCTTTAAATATCTGTATTTTCAATTTCCATTTTCTGAATTATACTGCCACTTCCTGTGGTCAGATCATTACAGAATGTCATGTCTTTATAGACGAAAAGCGAGTATTCTTTTCTGAAGTCAAGAATGACAATCCTTTGGACTGTCTGGTTAAGAGACTTAGGATCGCCCGGCTGCCGCCAAATGTATGCTGACTTACCTAAGAAACGTCTTTTCAACTTTGAGCTTCTGTAAACCTTTTTAACAGGACCGGCTGCTATTTCAGATGGATTTGGAATGCAAGGATGCTGCAAAATCAAATTGTGACTATTATTATGACATGATGTTCTTACTGCCTCACTGCACGTTTATGAGCTTGCCGCCTGGTAACCTTTTTTCCTTTATATATTGTCAGCAACAAATTACTCTTTCTTTTTTCACAAACTTTTTAGTGTAAAGTTTTGGATGATATTTATTTTGTCCAGAGAATAATGGAGCTGGAAGTGATTCTGGCTCTACAATATCGAGTGAAGCTGATGCTGCTGGAGCAGTGGTTAGTGGTGTAGAGGTCTCCCAAGAAGCAAACCACTTGGAGATGAGGCTACTGGACCTGTATTCAGGCTGTGGGGCAATGTCCACTGGACTTTGCCTGGGAGCTAATAGCACTGGTGTTAAGCTTGTTACCGTAAGGACAATAAGTTTTCTTGAACTTCTTACTAGTTGTTATGTCGTTCTTTACTATTAAAATAACTTCTCAATGCAGAAATGGGCAGTTGATATAAACAAGTATGCATGTGAAAGTCTAAAATGGAACCATCCGGAGACTGAGGTGTATATTGCTCCCTATGGTTTTGTATCCATTATTTCTATATTTATAACCTTGTTCAGGATACATTTTTCTTCTTGATAATTTCTTTTTGATTAAGGTACGAAATGAATCTGCCGAGAACTTTTTGCTTTTGATTAAGGAGTGGGAGAGGCTTTGTGTCTCTTATGCGTTAGTAGAAAGCAATGTTCTACCACATCCGTATGTTAACTCGTCAAATGAGCAAGTAGATGAAGTTGGTGGAGATGATGAAGATGACGATGTTGATGATAGTGATGGTAATAGTTCTGAAGTTTTTGAAGTCAAAGAGGTATTGGCTATGTGCTATGGGGATCCAAAAGAGAGTGGTGCTGTTGGACTTTACTGTAAGGTATACTTGTTGGATTATCAGTGTACCTTTATATCTCTATCTTGCCTTTTTAAACATTTTCAATTAGCTTTGGCTTGTAGTAATGTCTCTAAAATGCAATTTAGATTCGCTGGAAAGGTTATGGACCAGATGATGAAACATGGGAGCCTATAGACGGTTTGAGGTAGGCATTAAATCTGGTTTGCTTAGTGATTTCTTGATGTTATTTGTTTCCTTGAAACAATCACTGACCTTCTATACGTGTTTCTTAGTGATTGTCAAGAGAAGGTGAAGGAATTCGTCACTAAAGGTTACAAAAGAAAGATTTTGCCTTTGCCTGTAAGTTCAAACATCTTCCAAAGAGATGTGAAGTATACTGGACTACTGCAGATTATGTTATCTAATTTGTTGGTTTCTTGATGTCTTGCAGGGAAATGTCGATGTTATATGTGGGGGCCCTCCTTGCCAAGGAATAAGTGGGTTTAACCGATTTCGGAATACAGACCAACCATTACAAGATGAAAAAAATAAGCAGCTTGCCGTCTTCATGGATATTGTGGCTTTTCTAAAGCCTAGATTTGTGTTGATGGAAAATGTTGTTGATTTGATTAAGTTTTCCAAAGGGTATCTTGGGAGGTATGCTTTTGCTCGGCTTCTTGCTATGAACTATCAAGCACGACTTGGAATGATGGCTGCTGGTGCTTATGGTCTCCCACAGTTTAGAATGCGTGTCTTTATGTGGGGTGCTGTTCCTAAAGAGGTGATACTCAGTTTTTCTTTTTCTTATTTATTTATTCAGGTTTCAAGGCGTCTTTTCTCTCTCATTAGCAGTACTTACTCTTCTATTAATGCAGAAGTTGCCTCAGTACCCATTGCCTACCCATGATGTCGTTGTGAGAGGGGTTGTTCCCAAGGAATTTGAGGTAGGCTATGGATGGTAGAAAAATATTATACAATTTGATTTTTGCTTCTTTATTAGCCTAAATCTTCTGTGTCAATGTAGTCCAATACTGTAGCTTATGAAGAAGGTTCAAAAGTTGAATTGGAGAAGGAGCTTTTTCTTGAAGATGCTATTTCTGATCTTCCACCGGTATATATTGCCAATACTAAGCTTTTTTCAATTAATGTATGCCTCTAATGTTCCTTATATGCTTAAAACTCTCTCTTGCAAACTTAACATTTAGGTTGAAAATGACGAGCCACGAGATGAAATGCCATATGGTGGTGCGTCCAAGACTGAATTTCAAAACTTCATCAGATTGAGGAAAGATGGTAAGTTCATATTTCTTTATTTCTCCTTGAAGTACTTCTGGATTTATAATTTTCAATGCCTTATTTTAAACTTGGAATTCTTGCCTTGTCTTGGTGAGCATGGTAACGTGATTCTAATGGATGCTAAAAAATTTATCCAACATTTTTGATCCAGAGCAAACAATACACGTTTGCTGGTGCTTAAAAGTTTCCAGCTATATTTGTCATTCATTGTTTATGTTGTGAAAAAAGTTGGTTTACCAACTAAGCATCGAACTATTTACATTCTTAAATCTGGAATGTAATACTTAAATCCATGAAACTAAAAGTACTTTGTTTTATAGGTTTCCTTTTTCTATGGCTTTTAGCTTGTCTTAATTGAGCACAGCATGGATTACGTTCTGATACAGGTTCTCTGCGTAGTTTGAGTTTGAAAAGTTATTGAATGTCGTCTTTCACATTATTTTTTCTTTCTGATGCAGAAATGCCAGGTAGTCTAGGCTTTGGATTAGAAGTAGCTCCACATTTGCTGTATGACCATCGGCCGCTCCAACTAAATAGGGATGATTATAGTCGGGTGTGTCAGATTCCCAAGAAGAAGGTATATTTTAGTTCGTTAGTCTTTTTCATTTTTATGTTTTTTTTCCCTAGTCAAAGGACCTTCTCATGTATTTATGCTTTTCAGGAGCTCTTGTTATGTAAATTGTCAATTGAATACTACCTGCTTCTGAACTATTTGTACCATGGTTGCTAGGGTGCAAACTTTAGAGATTTGCCTGGTGTAAGAGTCCGTGCTGATAACAAGGTGGAATGGGATCCAGATATAGAGCGTGTCTATCTGCCCTCAGGAAAACCTTTGGTACGACTTCTTGAATTTCTATATTATGCAGATCAGCATGTATTTGTTTATTTCTTCATTGATAATCCTTACCCCAGTGAGTTGCTTGTGCAGGTACCTGATTATGCTATGACTTTTGTTGGTGGATCTTCATGCAAGTAATCTTCATTTCTCTTCTATGTTTCTCAAATTGCTTGTTTGATGAATTTTTTTTTGTTGGCTTTTCACACAACTATTTTTTCATGCCATTTAGGCCGTTTGGACGATTGTGGTGGAATGAGACAGTACCTACAGTTGTCACACGAGCAGAACCTCACAATCAGGTACTGTTGTTGTCACTTTCTAATTTAATTGAATATTCTGGTTTGCTGTTTTATACTTCACTGCATGATGAATCTTCTTTGGACTTTGTCAGACCATATTGCATCCAAAGCAAGACAGAGTCCTTACAATCCGAGAGAACGCCAGACTCCAAGGATTTCCTGATTATTACAAACTTTTTGGCCCCATTAAAGAAAGGTAAAAGCTGAGGAACAATTATGTTTCTGACATATTTAGGCATTCTATAGAGTACGTGCTAATATGATCCTCAGGTTCTCTCAATCCTTGTTACACCCTCGAATAAAACAAACTACCTCTTGGCCTCATACTTAGTCTTTTTCCATTAGTTAGAATTTGTAGATATATGTTGAAACGAGGGAAAAAAATTGCAGTAGCAGTGGGTTTGTCCTGTCAGAGTGAAAGAAAATTAGACCCCAAAAAGTTTTTCCCTTTCACCTGTTCTCATAATGACAGTGAGGATTTAGGACATGTTGCTGACGAATATGGCAATGCATGGGTTGTGTGATAAAATGGTGAACAGGTTGTAGAACTCTTAAAATTAGCTTAATTTTGAGATGGAAGTGTTCAATGTATTGCATCTAGATTTCACTGTGAAAGTAAAATATCAACTCAACTAGACAGAGGCTTTTCAGTAGTATTAGTCACCTAGTTTCGCAAAATCTGGGACCTTCTGCACTTCAGATAATCTGTGAGCCAAATTCCAAATGGTGTCTACTTAGTGTGCAGAGCACAAGTTACTCAGCTTCTGTTTCTTCATGAGTTTGGTCATTGTCAATAGGCCTATGTTGCTACATGTTTGAGATGTTATTTATAAAGCAATTAGTTGCTGATTTGCTTGACTGCATCGTGATTATATGTTCAAGAAAGTAAGCCATGTTCATTATCCTGAAATTTTGATTGGCTTATTTGGTAATCAACAATAGTATAATACCTCCTATGTGAACACGGAATGGATATCTGTTTGCAATTAGTAAGACTCGATGTTTTATGATACTTCAGGTACATTCAAGTTGGCAACGCAGTTGCTGTGCCCGTTGCTCGCGCTTTAGGATTTTCTTTAGCTTTGGCTTTGAAGGGTTTGTCAGGCGACGAACCAGTACTGCAATTACCAAAGAGCTTTCCAAATAATGTCGAACTTCCTGCAGAAGTGTCTTCATGAAGGAAGTCAAATTTGTGTTTTTGTAACCCATCCAATACAACACTAAAGTACATGCCATTTATTGGTCACATTTATTGGTTATTTGTCGGAATTGTTCATAATTTGTATAATTTGAGTACCATGTTACTATTATTTACTCCATGAAACAGCATGTGCTGAAAGTAGTACTGCTGAACTCTTGCTGATCAACTGATCCTCACACGTTGTGATGTATGAGCTGAACGTGTTGAAAGAGAAGCATTATCGTGCGAAGCAATGTTCTAGTTTCTATAATTTGATCATTGACAGGTGCGAAGACAGTCATTCTGGGATGCGGGATTGGAGCGGTTGTCAGAACAACCGTTTCGGAAGGTGTAACACTATTTGTATATAGTGTAACATCATCTGTACAAGGTGTAACAATAGAACAATATTTTTATAAGTCTCACACGGCATGAAAATCGAATTACAAGATGTGATCTGAGCTGCATAAATTTTTGAAGCCTCATCCAGACCGTCCAGGCCTCTCGTCCGCGATTCTGCCTTGCCTTTCGTTGTCAATGTCAACAATAAGAATTTTGCTTCTCTCTGCTGTCAGTATGCTAGACATTTTCTGTAGCTCGAAACTAATCTTCATGTGATCTTATTTTGATGGATGTGGTTGTGTTCGAGAATGGAAGCAAATTTGTTTAAATTATTTTGATGGATCTTTTATATTTTGTACTTCTGTTAAATCTTATGATTTTTTAAATTAAATATATTTGTGACATGTTTAATGTATTTTCTATCATGTTGGACGATTTTTAGTGAGATGATTAATAATATTGACTTATGTTTTATCAAAAAAAAAAGAAAAAAAACTTAAGTCTTACCAAGCTACTCGCTATTATTTGATCGAAGGGTGAAGTGCCAACAAGACACGTTTCTAAGATTTGTAGGGTTTGTTCTTAGATTGATCATTTAATTGATTATAGATTTTGATTTTGAATAATATCTTTTCTGATATTTTTGATTACTTTTGTACTTTGATTACAGACTTTTCAACGATCAAGAAAGTTTAAATCTGTAATTACTCAAAGAATAACCTTTGCTGATTCTAATTATTCTTTATAATAATTTATATAATCAAATTTTATAAAATAACTGAGAACAAGGTCGTAGTAGTAGAGTTCAAGTGAATTTAGTGACTTTGAAATTGCAATCTGGTATTTGAAAGACACCCGTGATGATCTCTTGAGGATTGATGGTCACCAACTCACCGTTATTATTTTCCCTCCAACAAAACTTTGAAGAAACACAAAATTCTACCCAGAGATGAGCAAATGAAAAACAGAGTTACTCTGGGTAGCAAATTCTACCCAGAGTTACAATATGAGATCACCAAATACTAAAACTGTGAAACACTTGCCATTTTTGTTTGGATTACTACAAGATACTGATGTGAATTCAGATACTCTTGATAGTACTAAAGAAAATACGTGAAGTACCTCATTTAGCAGCAAGAAGTTCAACAACAGAATTTGCTATTCAAATCACCAACTGTTGCATCAACTACAAATACATCTGAATTAGTTTTAGGAAGCAAATTTTTGGGATTTTTTCAATTTGTCGATTGGAAAAGGGGACAACCGAAGAACAGCTTCCTCAGTCTCAATAGGGTCCGATCTCAATATCTGCAAAGAAACCGGGGTAAAAAAAGAAAACCTGAAATCAGTTTGAACGGTTCAAAACAACAAGGAAAAAGAAAAGAATCAAAATTGACTTACTGGGTCTTTGAGAATTGGCTTAGTGTCATCGAGAGCAGGTCTAAATTGGGGTTTTTTCTGGCCTTTCGTTTCAGTTCCGCCATTGCTGCTCTTGCTCGAAGCCTCTGCTGCTGCTTTCTTCATTCTTTTCCTCAGTTCTTGCTAAGTGGTGGGTTTAATTGGTAGGCGTTGCGCCTCCTTTCTATTATGTATAATCGTGGGCTTTTGTCTAGCTAGGTTGAGAGGATCCAATATCCAGAAAAGAAAAAAAAAAAAAGAAGAACCTAAAATAATCATTTGTCTTGACTCACAAAAAATAACCCTTTTCTTTTAACCCTCCCATTATAGACACCCAGGCATGTTAATGGATCGACTTTTATCCAAATTTAATTCAGATATAATGTACTTGGATAGGGTTTGGATTTAAATAAAGGGTTATTATCACTTTACCTCTTTAACGTTTGGTATCATTATCAATTTTTCATTTAATGGTATCTTTTAGCCACTTTACCTCCAAAACTAATAGTCAAATTTAACGTAGTTTGTTAATTAAAGTAAAAAGACATGTTTAACCCTTAAAATTATTATCACTTTACTACCATAAACTATAGTCTAATTATTAATTTAGCCCATAGAGTTATTTTTTAGCCAACTTATCCTACCATTATATCAACTTAACAAGTTAAAAAATTTTAAAAGAAAATACCCTCCTCTTTGCATAATAAAAATAATAAAAAATTTTAGAGTGGCTCTTCTCCTTTTTAATATTAAGAAAAAAATCAAAATATTAATTTCTTTATTCTTGGCAATTTTATTAATATCAAAAAAGAATAGAAAGATGGAGAGGAGTAGGGGGAGAAGGAGAGAGCTCAATTCTTTTTTTAAAAATTACAAATAAGAAAGAATTAAATATTTTTATTATTTTAAAATTATTTCACTTTTCTGTTTACTACCAAATTCCAATCCTAATCCCGACAATTTTAATGTAATATGATAATGTTATACTTTTCTTTATTTTATTTCTTTGCAAAATCGAATTTTCTTTCTTCTTCTTTTCTATCCTTTTTTCTTTTCCTAGCATTAATAAGTGTGAAGAAAAGAAATTTGAGAAAATCCTTTTATTTTTATATTTTTCAATCTCTTAAAGTGAAAAAAAAGAATAACCATTCCAACTTCTTATTTTTAATTATATATAAAAAGGGTAAATATATTTAAAATTTTTTGACCATACTAGTTAGATTAACGATGAGGTAAAATGCCTAGAAAATAATATTAGAAACTAAAGTGACTGTATCACTATAATCTAAACGAATAAATTGATAATAACAATGTAATAATGCCATAAAATAAAAGAGTATTTTTGTCCAAAATTTCTTAACATGTTGAATTGAATTACTTATGGGGGTAAAGTGATTAAAAGATAATGTTAGGGGGTAAACTGATAGTTGTGATATAGTTTAAGGGGATAAAGTGATAATAACCTTTTAATTTATCAAATCTAGATCCTACTTAGACTCAGACCCTATAAAAGAGTTATGTATTCGGGTAGGATTTGATTTTCTATAATTCATATTTAAATCCAAACCCATACCAGATCTTACCAAACGCATGTATATATAATTAAATTATATATATATAAGTAAATTTTAAAATATTCTAATATTCTATGGTCATTGGATCGAATACAGTAAGATTTCATGATTGTTTTCTTTTTTCAAGTTAATCCTAGTTGTTATTGTAATTAGTACAAACTTTTTCAGAAAAAGAAGAAAAACTGAAAAAGTAAACGCAAATAAATGAAAGATTGGATGTAGATACAATTGAAGTATTAAAAATAAATCAAAATTATCAATAATAGTTACTTTTTGAGTTCATAATATTGCATTTAACTTCTTGAATATTAACCTTATTATTTAAAATAAAAATTGGATGATGTTTATTTTTTTTTGAAATCTGCATATTTTTACTTTAGTGTATTAGAAAAATATAGCGAGCACTCATTGGGTATTCAGATTTAGAAGGGTTTGGATTTGGATTTATTTTTTCAGGCCCATAAGGCTTTGGGTCTGGATTTAGGTCTAACTAAATTTAATGGATCTGGATCTAAATCAAAAGGATCAAACCTAGATCCTATCCATTGAAATATTTAGACACCTCTAGTAGAGCATCCAATGAATGCCCAACATTTGTTGTGTGATTTTCCGTGGTAGCATGGTTTTGCATTTGAAATTGCATCCATTCAACTCTCCTACCATAAATTCAGGCATCTATCTAATTTGAATTGTAATAAGTTCATTTGGATATCCACACAGTTGAATGATTTTCCCCCATAAAATGCAGCTCTCAAAGATGATCTTTCGAAATTTGCATTTTTGAAATTTATATGAGAATTTGCAAGAGAGACTGTGTTGAAAATTCAATTCAAGAAGTATACTTTCTGGTGTTAATCTGGGCATGGTTTCAATACTGCCATTATCCTATGTTACTTGTTGACTAGTTGGAACAAAAGATCCTGTAGAATTTAGGTAGATTTTTTTCCCCAACAGGTTGGTAGTTAATTGTACAATAAAATTTATGTGTAGGTTGATCCCTCTCACACAAGCTAGATATTGAAGATTAAGAAATTATTTGTGGCTCCCGTATATATGTTCCACAAAATGAAGTTCAAACTGAAACAGTAAGCATAGTGAACCTTTTGAGGCTATGTCTTCAAGGGCTCAATATGAAGTCTGACTGTTGACCTGTCTGATGATCTCATAGCTCTTAAATGACTCTGCAAATCTGCATCTCTGGATAGACAAATCCAATTGTTATTGACATCTTGATACTTGATCTCATAACTTTCACCACTCAGGTTGAGCCGTTTCTTTATCGCATCTCTGAGTTGCATCAGTCCAGATGAAAGAGAGAGCTGAAACTTTATCATGACTTCTTTGTATGTTGCCTTTATTGTCATGAGGCTTTCATTTTGCTTTGTCATAGCTTGTGGCATAGGAGGTGAAGCAGAAGTAGCAACTTCCTCAGGAATCTGATTGGTGCATGGCTCAACAGCAAGTCTGATTGTTGGGTTTTCCTGTGGTTTCATGATAGTCACACAATTATGCAAATCATTGTCGCTGGTCAATGGAATCCATTCATTGGGCTCAGCTAGACACTTGATGTCAAAGCTGTCACCACTTAACTTGAACTGCTTCATGACTTCATTTTTCAGTTCCATCAATTTTGAAGAAAGGGAAACCTGAAGCTCTACAGTCTCCTCTTTATATGTTGCCTTTATGGTCATGATCCTCTCTTTCTGCACTGGATTTATCTGCAGCATAGGGCTCCCAACAGAATCCCTGGAACTTTCAAGGTGTTGATTCTGAGTAGGCTCAAGAAGAACTTTGATTGTATTCTTCCTTTGTGACATCATATCAAACATCAACTTCTGCAAGTCCACATCATTGGATACTAAAATGCAGTTATTATCTTCCTTTTGATACTTGATATCAAAACTTCCAGTTGTCAAATTTAACCTCTTTGTCACTTCTTTCTCAAAATCCATTATCCCTGATGAGAGAGAGAGTGGAAACTTAATCATGTCTTCCTTAAATGCTGCCTTTATCATAATTGTGCCTTCATTTTCTGGTGCTGGTGGTGCCTTTATACTCTCATTCTGCACTGGATTTATCTGCAGCATGGGGCTCCCAACAGAATCCCTGGAACTTTCAAGGTGTTGATTCTGAGTAGGCTCAAGAAGAACTTTGATTGTATTCTTCCTTTGTGACATCATATCAAACATCAACTTCTGCAAGTCCACATCATTGGATACTAAAATGCAGTTATTATCTTCATTTTGATACTTGATCTCAAAACTTCCAGTTGTCAAATTTAACCTCTTTGTCACTTCTTTCTCAAAATCCATCATCCCTGATGAGAGAGAGAGTGGAAACTTAATCATGTCTTCCTTAAATGATGCCTTTATCATAATTGTGCCTTCATTTTCTGGCGCTGATGGTGCCTTTATACTCTCGTTCTGCACTGGATTTATCTGCAGCATAGGGCTCCCAACAGAACCCCTGGAAATTTCAAGGTGTTGATTCTGAGTAGGCTCAAGAAGAACTTTGACTGTATTCTTCCTTTGTGACATCATATCAAACATCAATTTCTGCAAGTCCACATCATTGGATACTAAAATGCAGTTATTATCTTCCTTTTGATACTTGATCTCAAAGCTTCCAGTTGTCAAATTTAACCTCTTTGTCACTTCTTTCTCAAAATCCATTATCCCTGATGAGAGAGAGAGTGGAAACTTAATCATGCCTTCCTTAAATGCTGCCTTTATCATAATTGTGCCTTCATTTTCTGGTGCTGGTGCTGCAGGGTGAGAAACAGAAGTAGTGCCTTCATCAGGAGGTAAATCAGAACGTGCTTGGTCTCTATTACGTGTTCTCTTATTGTGGTTTTCAAATTCTCTTACATCTTCGTGAGAAAGGGAACGATCAGCTTTTCTCTTGTTGGTCTGTCTATCAATGCTACGCTCTCTGCATAACTGCTTTTCTTCATGTATGACAACTGTAAAAATGAGAATTTGAATCAAGATTAATACCAGGTGATCTTGTCAGCCATATAAGCAAATGAACAATGCAGTCATACTGAAAGCTAGGTTCAAATTCAAGATAGCAAACTCACTATCAGACATACACTCAGCATCTTCAAGTTGCCTTCTTGACTGGTTTCTGAGAACCTTCAATCCTGGTGCCTTTACCATGTCTTCATTATTTTGAAGAACAGGAAGATTGTCCTGTGTTCGTACATTCTCACATTTGTTATGTGAGAATCTCAGCAACGGTTGAGATCCGGTTGTTGCACACATTTCCAAAGATTCATCCAGTCTATCAAGTTTAATTATGTTCAAAGGTGTATCCGCCCCTGATTCTTGTACAGATGCAACCTTGAAACTCTGAAAGTTCTGCTGTACTGCAGCTAAAAAAGCTTTCAAGAGGGTCCATGGTTTCCCATAAGAAGGTTGGTAGGGGCACAGAAAAAACTCTAGCACATAAACTTCATTTCCTGTGGATCTACTTTGCAGACAGACAGCAAAAGAGCCAGTTAAGTTAACTTTGCGTGCACTAAGTACTAGGGGGTACTCATCAATACTTAACTGTTTCACATCTTTGCAGAAGCATGAAGCACCAGATGTAAATGCACTCCAGACAACACTTTGTCCTTTCTTTAAGCCAAACTGAATGCAATCCTTTTGGAAGGAGGAAAC